CACAAAGTAATTGCATTCTCATTTGTTATAATACCCTTTTATACTATGTCAAAATTATGCAATAAAATAAAAATTGAAATAAAACTGAAGCGAAGGTCCCTGATCTTATCAAAGCAAAACTTTTCAATAAAACTGTCACCAAAGCACTATCTCTACATAAGACAGTTTGATTTCATCAAATAAACATTTCCCTGAAAGAAATAAGACTGCAGTCCCGTGATACTCAGCCAGCTCTTCTGATCTCCACAGGAGGTGCGTAAGCAAGACTTTGTTCATGACACTTGCAGCGACACTTGCAGCCCACCACAGCCCTGCAGCACGACCGGACTCTGACTGCATCCGTACCCACTTCACCGAGCAGCTTCAGCGGGCTGCCCGAGAGGGATCGAGCCCAGAGGGCTGCGGAACAGTCAGTGCAGGCTGGCCACGGCGCACATTCAGAAAACGAGGAGTATGTAACCTACAGGTAACTGCTCTTCAGTTAGACAGTGAGGAGTAAACGGGGAATCTTTAGCACAAGTGTATAATGTACCAGATTAAAGGCTCTGATGCTACTATGGCATCAGGATCAAAAGAAAAGAGCAAGGGTTTTGAATACATGGATAATGCCAAATTGAGTATATCTGGGACAAAATCACAAGACACTGTCCAGAGGCAGATTTTCAAAAGTGCTTCAGAGATAAATTCAAAGAGCTTGTGCAGTCAATCACAACATGTACAAAGCTTACAAATTTTATATCTAAAACACAGGCACAGACTGGAGGAGAAACGGGAAGATCTGAGTACACCTAGATGTCTGCAGTGCAAAAACACAGAGATACAAAATATTTCCCTTTCCAGTTTTGCTCTCTTTAGATTTCTGTTCTGTCTTCTTGCTGGATCCTAATCTTTCAGATCATGACTTTATATCCGATTTCACTGTTCATTACATCTTACTGTTCCTTTCCTCTCTGCTGCTTCAAGTCTATTATCCCCACTCCATGTCCAACTGCACCTACAGGAGTACCACTAACTTCTCCATTTCCTCCTGATTACTCAAAGCTCCATTACAGTTGGGGCCTTCACACACTGCTCGATAAAAGTGTTCTTCTACTACTCAGCATTGAGCCAAGCGTTAAAGATAGAGGGCAAAAGGCTCTTTCTGCTGCTTCATATGGTGGATCTTGACATCGGTAGTCTATCTTCTTTCACAAGCAGAACTCCCACAGATTTAAAAGGAGATCTGTGCATGTAGGCAGAGGAGAATATTGGAGTCAAGATCCACCCATGCAGATCTGAAGATAATTTTCATTAGCTAGGAAGTCAAACACAGAGGCATAAAAAGTTTTGACACAGAGTCATCTTAACTTGGCTGGGAGTTTCTGATGTGAAGAAGGTCTATAGCCTAGAAAACTGTAAAGTGATGGAAACCCTAGTTACCAAGAGGGTAATTTCATCCTTTATGTAGCATTTCATATTTGAATGCTAAATAACCACTAGAGATAAAAAAAAGAATTCCACATTCAAGAAAGGATCTCAGCTGCAGCCACCGCACTTCCCAAATATAGTCTGAGACTCTGTCTTAAACGTCTGCAATGCAAGCTGAGCACAGTGCCCTGCAAAAGCTGGCTCTTGACCATGACATGATGGCCATTTTGCCAGTGGTGACACCCCTGCCTGTCAGAGAAAATATACGTTAACACCAGGAATTAAGAAACATCCCTGACAGAAGCATCATGTCTACCCACCACCCCTGACGTTGTGGAACCCTCGTTCCAGCAGGGGACTCCACTTGACCAATGCAACACAGCAGCAAGACACTAATACATAATTAACATCCAGCAGCGATTAATTCAGTAACATCTGACCAACTACCAGGCCACTCAGCTGCCTTTGCCCGTCTCCCCACGCAAGACCATTTGCAGCTCGCAGACAGCTATGAATTCAAAACGCACCCCATTTCTCCCGGCGAGCACAGAGCCAGGCCAAAGGGGGATTCCAATCCGCTGCACCGTGCGGTACGCAGCCGCAGCATCGCCACACGCTCCACTGTGCACAGCACGCCTGAAATTAGACCCAACTCCTTCCTTGGCAAACAGCATGCTGTAAACATTCAAGTCAAATGTTAAAGTGCCCCCAAATACAGAGGTGTCTCCATTTTTTAAAGATTCCTGTTACTTCTTTGTACATTGCCTATGTTTTACTTTGATTTTAAAACTTCAGTTTTAGGATGTTGCACGTCTGTACACTAGAAACAATGTCATGACTTATGACTGACTGACGTACAGCTGTTTAGGGACCAAAATTTTAATTCCATTGCTTAATCACTCCTGTACATTAACTTATTAACAGAGACCTGTTTATTGACTCCGCTTTCTGCCAAGTGCTTACGACGGCTACTCCGGGGTCCCCAGCTGACGCAGCAGCACGCTGTTCTTCCAGCTGTTCCGGTGCCATCCTGAGAAACAGGGTCAGCACTGGCATCTCATTTATTTCCTGATGCTTGGCTTGCATCCTCTTCCCTCTAGGGAGAGTGCTGCTCACAAGAGCACTTTACTTTCATTGCTCCTGTTAAACTCTTTTGTTCTTCAGCGGAGGCTGCTCAGCCTAGCAAAGCCCACAGCTCAGGCTCTCCCGGAGAAGCAGCATTTTGGGTTTTTTGAAGAAATGTGCCTTCTCCCTTTGTCCCTGCTGCTTGTGCATTTCACTCAACCAACTCCGTAACAGAACTAACTCACACAGCACTTGCAGGAGCAAAGCGGTTTTTAGTGCTATGCCGCACTTGTCCTCCAGTGCTGTGCCTCAACTCGGCAGGAGGAAACTGCGCACTCGGTGGACGGCGGTCCTGCTCAGCGACCTGTGCGATTATTCAAAAACGTCCTTGCCTTGAGCACGTGGATACCCCTCTTGATTCACTGGCTGTCAGAGACAATTCTGTTTCATGTCCCCCCAAAAGATTACTGGATTTTGATTAAGAAAGGTCAAGGGCAGCTTTTCCTTCCAATATAAGCAGAATGACTTGAGGAAAAACATACTCATCACCTAGCACTAGGACTTCCGTCTCCACTTGAAAAATTAAATTGCCTGAAGTGATGGGAAGCTTAGGGCAGGGAATGTACAAGAATATTTTCATGCAAATAAATTCCTAAATAACTTACCTACATGCTATAATTTTAAGTGCCCCAAAAAAGACTGGGGTTTTTTTTGCAGGTGTTTTAGCAGGAGAACAAAACAGAAAGCTCAGGTAGCCACGTCTAAGATAATACCCATTTGCCCGACCAATTTTAGATGTCTGTTGTATTACTGACCTAGCATACCAGAGATTTAGATTAATCCTTAACGCTTCAATACATTCCCCCCAAAATAACTTTCCCAATATTGATTTTCCTTTGAAGGAAATTAGCTCTAGTTGCAGATTCCAAATACCTGCCTGGCACCATTCTCAATAAAACACACCTTCAACCAGTGTGAAATTGGTATAGCTATATTGAATTTGCTACGTGCAACTGCAGTATTTCACACCAGCTGAGGATCTAAGTATACATGCATAAGTGAGGGAAAAATATGTTTTCATCAGGAATAATGCCGCTGCAGAACACACAGCATCTTGGGCTGAGTAAAACAAATGACAAGTTCGTAAGAAATATAATCTTCTAATTGAGTTCAAGGCACTAAATAACCGCTGTCTTCTAACAGAGAATCAGATTCATGGTGGGTGTCTCTACATTAACTAGGAATAAGACTGTCGCATGGATTTTAATGAAATAAAGTTATGTCTGTGGCTTCTCTAGGATATTAAAGTCAATTTATCTGAAAACGACAAGCAGTGGCTGGCTTTTTCTTTCCATAGGAATTGGAGCAGTCCGTTGAGAAAGGTAGCAGGAGTTAGCACTGTATGAAGAAGCTCTTATCTGTTAAGGTACAAATTCCGAGAGCCTTGATTACCAAGATGGAATTGCAGAAATCCAGTAGGCTGATAGAACACAACACAAATTACTGCCATCACGCTACAGCACAGTGTACCTTGTGGCTGTGAGTATACAGTACAGACAACACTTAAAATGCTCAGCAAAAACATTTTCCTCAAGCTACAAGCTCTACAAGCTCCCAAATGTATTTACCTTACTGCATTTGGCCATATGGAAATTTACTTACTGGCATAGCTTGGGACAACTAATGCTCCACATCCTGTATCGCTAAACACCACACTAAAGCTTAAAACTAAGTGGGAGGCTTTTAGCCATCCTAGCTCAAAACCAAGACTGCCAAGCCCCACTTAGCACCTCAGAATGCAAACATCCAAGTTTCTGTCACTGGATGTGACAGCCCCCAAGAGCACTGAGCAGTTCAGCAACTACAGCAACCAGCAAGCTACAACAGCTAAAGGTTTCCATCTCTCCACCTGTGCAGCCTCATTGGACCAATCCTCATGAAAAACCACACAAGAGCACACTGATGTTACTGAAATAAGACTAAGGGTTTAAGGTGTTTCAGCGATGAAAGCACTCATTTCATTCACATTAAGTAAAAATTCGGATCCCCTCCTGCATGATAAGAAGCATGACTCTCCAAATTAAATCTTTTATTTAAAACCATTAAATTTTGAACGAAATACACGAAGTTTCTCTTTGAGCTCTAGTCAGAGCCAAGGCTGATGACAGGAGACAGTTCAGTCCTTCACGAATATCAAATGTCTCCTTGACCACTCCAGCCCCAGGTCTCCTAGGTAAAGCGGACAGGACCTGTTTGCTGACACATTCCCTGCGCAGCCTGCCAAACACAGCAGTTTGTCTTTTCCCACCTTTCACACCACCAGTTTCAGCACAGATGAATTTTAATCCTTCAGTCACTAGAGAACAGAAGACCAGAGATGTTTCGCAGTACAGGCCTGCATACCCTGTGTGGCCTTTTCAGAAGTGTTGTGAGCTTGTGTTAGAAAACACAGCTGGAGAAGTTCACTCTGACTACTTCAGTGTAGTAAGTGGTGTAACAAGACAAACATAATAGCTACTTGTTTTGATACAAACAGGATTTTAATTAAATCCAAGTGTTTTCTGTACAACAGAAAGATTTAATACAAAAAGAAGGAAGTGTTACTTCAGCTGCAGGAACACGCACAAAGAAGTTTCTGAACCCTAATGCTTCAGGAAGCCAAGAATTTTTTTGAAAAAATAACTATGTGAGGTATTGTTATAGATGTTATAATCCTGGTTTGGATCGGTCTCCACCATGTACAACTCTCCTGCATGGACATCCTCAAAGTCAGCACTGAAGTTGTTAGGATGAAACCGAACCCACAGAGTATACCTGTAGTCAATCGCACGCATGGAATAGCCCATGATTCTGATGTCTTTCAGCTTCGGCTTGTCAGAGTTCCACTGAGGAGTGTCTGCAGGCCGGGGATATTGGCTGAGAGCAACAGGTTCTTCAATAAAACACCTGTAAGTGTCATCACACCCCTCCTTCTCTTCAGCGGCATTAAAATACCGGACAATGCTTGCCCCCTCAGTGCACACTGCAACATGAAACGAAGTCTCTGGGCACACAGGAGGAACCTGTAGGCCAGCAAGCTCAGCAAGCGTTGAAAACAGAGACACAAGCTCAACCACTTTTTTGCTTCGCCCTAGAAGAAACATCAATATACAAGTTACAGAACGTGATGGTTTGACAGACACTGGTAGAACATTTTAGAAACTTACTCTAATATCACCTTCATTAAGTTGGTGTTTTATTTAAAGTGCTTTGTACTGGATTTGTAGGGTAACAAAAGGCAACTAAGGTATGGCAGTTAGCTCTGAAGATGCTAGTCTATGCTTTTATGATGTAATTTTAACAAGAAAAATTTTGCACTTATGTTTCTCAAATGTGCAGCTTTCAAGACAATAATATTACTTTGAAAAACATCTCTTCAGAAAGACAAAGCAAATTCCAGCATCTATAGCTTCACACAAGTGCGCCTCAATCAAAACAGTTTTCAGTGCCACCACTTTTACAGATGCTACACAGAGAATGTTTACTCTTCACTGCTGGAAAGACAGCAGCTGCCACTACAAAAGGTAGGTCAAGTAAACTTTTAGGCATCTACACCACACGAAAATAAATCGCCTGCTGTGTTAACGCAGCCATCTAGCTGTTTCCAGTAAAGCAGATCTAACCAAAGCAAAAGTTTGTGCCCAAGGATTCCCTTCACCACCTTGTTCCTCATCAGACAAGAAGCACGGTCAGTGACACCGACTCAAGCTGCTTGCAGGCAAAGCATCATTACATCACCCTTCTCCTTTACGTATATCCACTGCAAGCAAAATACCAATGCTGGAAACTTACCTTGAGGTACTAAGCCCAAAATATGGCTAAAAGGGTCAAGGTAGGGGAAGACCCTCTCTCCTTGACTAACAGAGGAAGTTGTCATTCCTGGTACATAAAACATCAGCGGCACACGGGTAGCAACATCAAAATTGCTGTATTTTGCCCATTCACCATGTTCTCCCAGGGACCATCCTAGATGACAAAGAATACAATTCAGAGCAGGTACTGGGTTGTAATTTAGTAGTCATTTCTCTTTCACTGTAAATTGGCTGTTCAGGCCACTAGTCTGTTATCAAGGTTATATTAAAAGGCAAATAACAATCTGTATTTAAATATAGCAAGATTTTTCTCTAATATGAAAGCTATTTCAACAGCCACCTAAATCTTGCAACTCGATACTCTTTTACTAAGCAAATAATTACACCTTCCCTTATTTCCCCTACTCTAGATTAGAAATAGGAAATCAGCATTAAAACAGCAGAAAAGAGGAACTGCAGAGTGTCACAGTGCCTGCAAGAGTCTCCAGATCAATTCCACCAAGCACTCATTTCAGTTCTGGACAGCTGCCAGCTCTCCAGTACTCCTGTTCACGCTGTAACTGAACATCCCTTGGAGCCAAGGCTGCTATCTATGCCAGACCACTATACCAGGATGTTACCCCTGAGGAAGCAATAGAGATCAAAACTCTTTAGCTCTCCTCTTCCTCTTGGAAGAGATGCCAACACGACTTCCTTCCAGGCAGATTTATTGCCAGCTTCACTCTGGGGGAAGACAAAGGAGCTCTATGACAGCTATGTTATCACATGACTTTTCTGGATCACTTTGCTAGCCATGGTACGGGAAACACCAACTGTTTACAGCTAACCACAGCAAGGAAAAGAAGAATTCGGTTTACAGTGGAAAGTCCAAGTCAAAGTGGCAAGTCAGAAGGAACATCGAGTCACTTTAGTACCAGAATTATCAATCCCATTGCTCTGCAACTCATAAGGGCTTGTTTGTACACACACGCTCACAGCAGTCATTCCAAATTACCTAAATACGTGACTTTACATTGATTTAGTTAAGCCATACCCTAACTGTTTTAAATCAGCTAAGCCATCCCCCCATTAAAGGGACTCATGGATGGGTTATTTTAATGAATATCAGAGTATTGAAACAAACATTCAACGCTTGAGGTATCTGTCCCACAATTAAAATTTAATTTTTCACCACCCGGATCCAGAGCGTGCAAGACCTCAGTTACGAGAGGGGACCCATACTGTTGCCAGTTTAGATGCTCTGCCAGCAGCAACGACAAGTGCAAGAAAACACACTTCAGCAGTTAAGGAGAAAGCCTGTCACCCACTGTACCAGATGGCTCTCTATAAATTGTAAGGGGTGAGGAGTGCTCGCTATCCTTTCACAGCACTGCTCCCAGCAAGAGTCACTCCTTGGGCAGGAGGTGGGAATACAGCAAGCTCAGCCCAGTGTCCTGGCAGACAGTCTCATCACTTACTAGCTAACCCTCAACCTGATTAAAGAGGTGCCTGCAGGGGGACAGAGCTGTGCAGCAGCAGAAGCCTGTGTCAGTCCATTAATTAGAGACAGACTAGCCAGATACACAAGGTATGGTAGCTCTGCTGTACATTATATAAACACACACTGATTAATAGGCCAACACTGAGTGGCACAATTAAATTACTAACAGTGAGCTGGAGAAAGATTCAAATGCATACCATGATCAGCAGTAAAAACTACTATTGTGCTATTTGAGAGTCCTACATCATCCAAAGCATTCAGGAGCAGGCCAACTTGTGTATCCAGGTAAGAAACTGCTGCATAATAGCTCTGACGAATCTGCCGCTGGAAGTTAAGAAAACAGGGCAGAGGGGAAAAAAAAGTTAGCTTTTCCCCAGACACACACAAAGGAGAACCAGTGGGTGGCTGTGTAAGTAAAGGAACTAAAGGATTTTACTGCTAAAGCTTTATTTTTTAAGTGTCTGTAGCCTGATTAGCGTCCCAGAAAAGGTAAACAGGGAGGGTGCAGTTAGAGAATTCTATCTATCTCCCACAAGTTCTTTCAAGCAAGACCTTGCAAGCCAATCAGTTCTGCTTCTCTTGGGGTCCAGCCAGTGCACCTTATTTTGGCATAAACACTGGAAAGTCAAGGAAAATCTTGCAAAAGAAGACACACTGAGTGGTGGCTTGAAACAGATTCAGATAATGAAAACAAACACTACATTGGTAGCTTCTACTGACATTCCCGTATATACAAACCAGGAGCACATACTACTACGACTAGTTGATGGCTGATCTCTTCCTCCCCGTGCCCACTAGCCTGACTGCAGTTACAGTGAAGGTTTACTTAAAAACCTAGAGGTGACAGTACGCAAGGCAGGGGATTCACAGTATTTGCCAGCTGTCAGCTGCTGAATACCTGGGAACATCTAAGAGCAGCTGATGGCTCCCTTGCATCTGAACAAGTTAAGGCACTTTGACTTCAGTGCCCTGTATTGACAGCTCACCTGGAAGTCATCTGGCAGTGGTCCGTAAGGGAAACTAACATTTAACGCTTCCACATCATCCCTCTGTCTGATATCCGTCCAGGGGTTGTACGCCACAGAAGGCAGCTTCTCAGGCACCCAGGGATCTGGGGCTAATGTGATGTTTTCCAAGGGGTACAACTTGAGAAATTCCTTTACAATACAAACACAAAGACTGCCCTCAGCTCTAAGGTCTGTTGTAAACTTTGTGTTGTAAAGCAGCAACCGCTTCCCCTTGCATGATCCTTCCATATTCTTACAGTTTACAAGGCTTCGCTCCCCCTCCCCCCGAGTGTGAAAGGTAGCAATACCGTGCTAGTCAGCCACAACCAACTCCTGAAAACTACCGAGTTAACAGCCTCCTGTATCTCAAAGCAAAACTGTAATAAAAGGCCCAGCATCACTTCCCCTGAAATGAGTAGGAGTTTTGCCACCAACTCAAACAGGGAACGGAGTACCAGATCTTGTAAGGCCTCACTATGTCACACTCCATCACACTGAATGCTGTCTCCACGCAATAGCAGTCACTATCATGATGGTGCACACCTGGCTTTTGGCTGCAGGGTCACAACTCATTCTCGTTAAACATCCTCTGAAATGCAATACAGGCAACCGCTGAAGTTACACTAAATCAAGGCTGGTTTTCAGCTTGCTTTCCAGAAACGACAGCAATAAAGCATTTGTGGAAACAGCTTTGAAATGCAAAAGCAACGCTTGTCTAAGTTCCTCTCCCTGCAGGCTTCAGTTTCCTCACCTGAGGGTACCTCAGTGGGATATGTGGTTTGTGGTAACCGACAGCCAGGAAGAATTTTTGCTTGTTGGTTTTCATAGCATTCAGTAAGCGTATGGCCTCTTCAGTGCTCTGAATATCAGGCAGAGTACCACTGGGCATTTCTGTCACATTCACTGGGCACACCAAATTAGCATACAGTTTCCCATCTTTTCCCCTACAAGTCTTTAAAAAAAAAAAAAAAAAGAATGAGTTAAGTAACCTAACTTCTGTAAAAGCAAAGAAGAAATCCTCCGTTCCGTAACTTTCAAAACAATTTGTTTCTCAATCCTTCTACCAACAAAAGACTGTAGATTGGATACGGAAAGGAATTTCACAATTGTCACGAACGCTAAAGCTGCCAAGTATGTTGATGACTGAGCAGATGGCTTCAGGAGTTGAAGAGTGCAACTTCTGTGTCCATGGAAAAGCAGAATCCTCTCTAAAGCTGGGCAGAAGATTAAACATAGTCATATAGGAAAACACAAAGCTTCTACGATGAACAGAAATCTCTGCCCTATCGGCAAGAAGGCAGAATTTGCTTACACTATGTACATGCATTTTTACTCCTTCTGATCCCAAGAGCTGAGAGAAAGCTGCCTGGAACCTACTGACTTAGTTTCTGAGCAAACACCAGCAGTGGCTGATGTATCATCAGTGAAGACAGACAAATTAGACTAAACGGTTGGCAGGAAAAGGTGGCCTCAGCAGGGTGCTTGGGAGAGTTGCTAAATGAACATAAAGAAAAGTATGTCATGGGTGCAAACACTGTTGTTGTTAAAACCAGTCTCTTTCAGCAGTAAATGCAAGAACAAAACATTGCCAGGGCTGTCTGTAGCCTCGCGGCTGGAGCTCCTAGCTTTGCAGTGCACAGACTCCAGCACATGACGCTATCGCAGTGTTTGCATAACGCAGAACAGATTCTTTTGGCCCACACTTTAGAGTAACAAACATTCTAGAAACTGAAGCGGATTCTAAAGTTTCAGATTATTTAAACGTTATTTTAATTACGACCTCCATCCACTCAGCCCTGGGCTCTTTATTAAGTTCACCAAGTCTATTGACAATGTTTTGTCACTTACTAAGCAGAGCAAGATTAGTGTGGAAGTTGACAACTGCACTATCTTAGTAACTTAAGTGACCAAATACTAATTTAGAAATACTTAAAATATCTGCAGGATGAGCACATGAATTAACATGACACACAACTGAAGAGATCAGCCTTCTTTTGGAAGGCTAAGAAACAGAATATCAAACTGGCTAGTTGTTTCCCCGCACAAGGTTGCAGTCTTGAAAACCAGAGTATAGCCTGTGCTTGACGCAAAGAACTTGGTTATATCCTGAAAACCTTTCTTTGCTAGGGTCCCACAAATTACCCTTACCTTATTATTTTCATACTTTTCAGTGGAAGGATGAAAGGGTGGAATGGACCAGCTGTATGGATAGTCATCACTGTAATTGGATGAAACCCCTGAAAAGGGTAAAGACATTAGAAATGCTCTAATAGTTCACTGAACCATGAAGAGCTCAAACACAAGTTTAACTTGCTTTCAGTTGGTTTGTTTTTTTCAAATATGCTAAATGAAGAAACATTTCAAATTATCTTTGACAACTGAGAAAAATAAGACCAAGAAGTAAAAGTCAAAGTTTAAGACAGACATTTTTCCCTGAAATACACCTTTTACTGGTGAGGGAGACTCACGCCTCTTGAAGAGCCTTACTTCAGGGAACAGCAACAAAACACCCACCATAATACCAGCATCAATAACAGTCTTCATGTACATCCTTAATTAGCTTTAATGTCAACTGAAAGTTCATATATCCACACAAGTTTAGTTCTGGGGTAAATAACTACCAAAAAGATGGTCAGTATTACAGTATTTTTCCAAGTCAGTAGTGTTATTGTTTTTTAACTAGTCAACTAATTTCCTACTTAATCGGTAGAATTAGTCATACATTCTATGTCTCCTGATCCAGACAGACAGCCTATTATGAAACATGAAACGTGTATATAAAGAACTAACAATGAGGCTGTTCAATAATTTCATCTTCAGCAGATACTGAACTTCCAGACATATTTTTAGAATGTTAGACATTAATTCCCACAAACCCTAGACAAGATGTGAAAATACTCATTAGATAAGAGTCATCTAATATATTCATCTCTAATGCCTTAAGATTTAAAATTAAGATTTAAAGACAATCTACAACCATTGTACAATCTGGCTTATGATTATGATTTAGTTGTCAATATAGACAAGAATCACACAGTTGATATTTATAGATAAAGTCTGTGAGAATATACACGTTAAGCATGTGTATGTTAAGCAGAGGACAATTCAAACCATACCAGGATGAAAAACTTTCCCCACAGACAGTGTCACGTAGCCATTCTCCTTGAAATACTGGGGCATCGTGGAATAGTTTCCTGCATGTACTCTCCAGTAGGAGTAGAAATCGTACAGTCGGGTAGTATCAGGTCTGCGTCCAGTAAGAAATGACACTCTACTGGGAGCACACACGGCTTGCTGAGGAGAGAGCCAGCCAAAAAGAGAATAAATTTGGAACAACAAGCAAGACATATGTACAAACTGACTCAGGTGTGGCTGGGCAAAACCTCCAAAGGCTCAGGAACTGCACTGAAAATGTTTCATATCACTTCAAGTTGGAACGAACAGCATCCTTATTAAGCGTATCAATATCCAACTGCAAGCTTTTAGCAAGATATACATTTAGCTAGCTATAATTTTTCCCCAAATAACCAATTCCTAAGCATTAAAAGCTTTGGTTATGCAGCTAGTAGCACAAGTAAAAAGAAAAAGGTCAGGCTGCATTGAAGACCGTGCTTTTGAGATCTGGTAGCTCATACACTGAACTAAGCAGAAGCAGCAGATGGACTGTGCTAACAAACCCCCGAAGTCTAGTTGATCTGGACAGCCCTAAGAATAACGAAAAGGATAAACATACAGAAGGTCCGGGTTACGGTCCAAAGACCTCACCAATTCTGTTTCAGACTGGCAAGATCCGTGAGTTACTGCGTTAAAGTCCTAATCCCTAGTCAAAATTAGACTCAAACTTCTAATTTCTCAGCAGAGAGAAAGTTGGGAACGTAGGCATCCTCTGCAAAGTAATCAAGTAGATAGCAATTGGGGAGATTTTGAGTCCTCTATTTAAGAGTGATGCTTGCCACACAAGCTGCCACTTCATAAAAGTCTACAGATTTCCTCAAAGCAAAAAATCAAAAAGCAAAAAATAATCTCTGATAATCAGTAGAAAAAAAGAACTCTAATTTAGTAAAATGGCATTTTTAAGCAGCAATTTGCTGCTAACAGTGAAAATGTTTGAGCGGTGTTACACTTCTCCAAGGGCTACGCAAGTATCACCATTCAAATGCCCTGTTTTCATCTTTCTCACCTTAGCAAAGATAGGTTCGTACAGTACAGTTCAGCCCAACCATTTATTTCCCACTGGAAACACTTAAGGTTAATAAATACTTGGTTCCTCCAATGGTCTGCCTAACACCTACTATGATAAACCCCGTAATTATCTCGCACAGAGAAAACATTTTTAAATCTTTTCCCTCACCTGTGCATACGCATTGCTGAACACCACACTGTGAGCAGCAAGCTGATCAATGTTTGGAGATCTCACAAGCTTATCTCCGTAACAGCCCAGAACAGGACGCAGATCATCCACGACTACCAACAGGACGTTCATCCCATCTATGAAGAAACAGAATTAGGAACACGCTACCGAGCTCCAGTAAGCAGAGGCTAGTTTACGCATATTTCTTTATCAGTTTTTAACTCTAAAGTATGCTTAAGAAAAAATAAAATAAAGTAAACCAGCAAGAGCATCTACTGTCTTTGCAAGGAGATGTAAATACTGGGATTAATTCCTCTAACAGATAGGAATTCTTGTGGGGCCTAGACAGAAGGCCGGTGGGCTCCACAGCCTGCACGCTTCGGCGGGGCGTTCAGCACAGGCAACGCTCGGGCACTGCCACGCCCCACAGCCCTGCTCCAGACAGACACGAACCCCGCGCTTCTACCGAGTTAACCAGCTGTGTGTTCAGAGCCGCCCTCCGAGGGGGCC